GGCAAGCAATCAAGCAGCTTACTGAGACAATGGTCCCCAGCTGACTCACAGCCACTGCCCACCACTGGGGTCTGAGCCCCCTCTAATTCAAATCCCCTTCTGAGGCCTTAAATTAATGTCACCCAGCAGCTGGGGTGCCTGGAGCAGGTGTCACAGTTCAGCTGGGCACAGTTTGCAGGATTTTCTTCCAGGCAATGGGAAACTGAGGGTATAAAGGGGGTGACGGAGAGTTGAGTGGGTTTTTTTTTAGCTCAGGTACCAGTGTTGGTTATCGAGGCCTGAGCTAGAGCCTGCTGCTTATTGCAGAAGCCAGCGAGGAGAACTTCCCACTCAAATAGTTCTGGCTTGTCCAGCTCCTTAGGTTGCACATTAAGGGAAGTTATTGCTGCTCTTGAAGAAGTCGTCAGCTGAAGGACTCGGCACAAGAGCAAGAAGGTACAAGCCGGCCAGGAAGGGAGATTTGGGCTCTTGGGAGCAAGTTTCTACCTCTTGTGGTGGTGAGGCTCTGGGGCGGCTTGCTTGGGGCTGGTGGGTGCTGGGGACCTCCCTGCCTACCCTGTGTCTGGGATGCTGGCAGGATGGGAGATGAGGGCAGGGCTTTGCCCCTCAAGAATAAGGGTGGTTTTATTTCTTTTATCCTTCCAAACCCCTCTTCGTGCATGCCCTGATGTTCACAGCTTGCCTGCTATTCTCCTATCTAGGGGCCAAGCCTGGTGGCAAGATTTAGCATTAATAATCCATGGATAATTTAACAGCCTGAAAGCCTAGGGTAAACTTCTGGGTTTTAATGTTGGGTTTTTTTTTGAAGTCCATAGCAGAGCATCCACTGCCAGGGGGGCCTTTTCCCTCTTGGGGATGGGGGAAAGCACATTTGCAGAGGGCTCCTGGGTGTGCCATCATGTATGTTGATGCAGCAGATCCCTTAATTATCCCATCAAGTTTTCTTTACCTTGTTTTTGATGAGATTGAGTGTTCAGCAAAATTGCTTTAATCCCTGTGAAATCCCTTGTGGATTTGGCAGGGTGTGGCCTTGACAGAGTTGTTTTGTTGTGTGGGTTTTTTTTCTTTCTGAGTGTGTGCAGGCAAATGGCTGCCTCCCGTAGCCTGATGCTGAGCCGGACCGGTGGGTGGTCAGGGAGCTGAATGGGGGATGTTGAATGGTTGCTGTGGCACTGTGTGTGAGCATCACAGTCTGCAGTCTGGCCCTTGTGTGTACACAATCCATGAGATTGGGAAAAGAGAAGATCTAGAGCAAATTACCATCTTGGTTGGACTCTGGCACATTTCAGAGCTTCCAGCTCAAACAGAAAAACAAGGAACCATGCTTGCAGCAGTTATTTTTGGTGGAGAAGGATAGTCCCTGCAAGGGCTGGAGGGCTCTGCTTTTCAGGGCTATCAGCTGGGCACAGTCATCCTTGTCTTCTCCATGAGGTGAGACTCATTTCAAGCCTTGTAGCCCATGGGCTCTCCTAGCTAATTTTCCTGGCTGGGGAAAGACATGATGGTTTCTCAGAGCTCCCAATGAAAACATTGCCTGTTGGGGTTGGATTTGTTTCAGGGCTGGGCAGTGAGGGAAGATTGAGATACCCTCTGGGAGCTTGGAGGGTGGGAATGGGCCTTCTGGACAGCAGGGTGGTGGAGGGGTTTGGTTTCTCTTCCCTGCTGCTCTTTTTCTTTAGAGGGAGGCTGTTGTGGTAGGCAATGCCATCTGCTTTTCTTTGCTGAGGATTTTTCCTCTTCCAGACCCAGTATTTTAGTGCTTTGAAGCATCTTCAACCCGGGATGGAGCATGTGGGGTTCTGCATTGTCCCATCTAGGAATCTGGCTCAGCCAGGGACTGCAGCTGGGATGAGTCCCTCTGGGGTTCGTAATGAAAATGGGGGTCTCACCACACTGCCATGCATCACCCGGAGTTTCTCTTCCCAAGCCCTTGACCCCCTGGCTGGTCCCATGCTTGAAGGGGGTCAACAAGCCAAGCATGTTTGGGCTTAGCCAGAGCAGCAAGAACCTCACCTGCTGGGTTGAGTTTCTCTCCCTCACTTGGGACCTGCCCAGCTTTACGCCTCTGCTCAACCTCGAGGAGAATGAAAGCCCTTGAGGAACTTGTGGTTAACAGGCACTTAATTGATTCTGAATAATCCTGACAAGTTTTTGCAGTCCTTGTGGTAATCACCTCTCTTTCCAATTGAATAGCTCGGGCTAGGTCTGTATGGATGCCAGCTGTACACTGCTTGGCTGCATTCTTTCATTTCCAGCTCATGCTTTCCTTTTAACCCTTCCATTCCCTGCTTCTTCACAGAAACTGCCAATGGGGATGGTCTTTTCAACCTCCTTTCCTTGCAGACACCCTGTTCTTCACCTTCACTAGGATTCTGTTTAGGGAGCCTAAAATGTGGAATGTGGTGAGGTTTTTTTTTTTTATTTGGCAGAGTAAGCAGATAAGCTAATTTATTTTTTTACCTGTATTATCATAGACTTGGCAAACTGATTTGAGGTGTGAGGCATGCTTATAGCATGACAAGCCATAAATGACTTGAAGGGGCTGGGGAAGGACCAGAGGGAGAATGTGGGGTGCTGGGATGTGGGGGCACAACTCTGAGCCTGAGTGTAGTCCCAGAACTGCCCCAAATTGTGCTTTCATTTTGTGGGAACACAGCGCAAGACTGCACCGCATTCGTCATGAGCCTGTCCCTCCATGTGTTTAGGTAAAGGGTTGTCCCGCTTGGAGCTAAAACAGATCTAATTCTGCTCAGTGATTTTTACTTTTCAGTTAAGTCTCTTCTAAGTGACTGCACTTTCTGAAATCAACAGCGTGTTTTCCCAGACAGTGTCTGCTTCTAGGAGTGATAACCTTGATGTGTGTTGTTAATGCCAAGGAATGGGAGGCAGAAAGGCTCTTGCTTATGCTTGCTCCTGTAGCAACCACGGTCACTGCTGAATCTTGTGCTCCATGTTGGGGTCCTGGCAGTGAAAAGGGTCGCAAGCACGTAAAAAGGTCACACCTGCAGGGAGGAGTGAACTAGACAAGTGACCCAAACCTGACCAACTAAGTATTCCATCCCACATATGCCATATTCAGGAGAAAGCTGAAGGATCATGAGGGTCAAGCTTTCTTCTTTGATAGCCGACATACGAGGAGGACTCTGTTCTTCTGTCTTCGATCCTGATCTGTGCATCCCCGAATCCAGCTCCTGCATCTAGTTCCCATCTGCTGCTGAGTCCAGCCTGGGGCTGCCCCAGTGCCAGCCTGGCAGCATCAGTGGTGACATATTATCATCAGCAGGTTGGGTTTGGTATTGGTTTTGTATATATATCTCATTATTTTCTTATTTTTATCATTATCTTTTATTTTGATTGCTTCATTAAAGCTGTTTTAGTTTTCTTCCCAGTCTCTCTCCCTTATTCTCTTGCTTCCCCTTCTGGGAGGGGAGAGGGGTTAACAGAGAGTGTCTGGCATTCATTAGCAGCTGGCCCAGCCTCAACCCTTGACAAGGGTGTGCTGTGTTTGTACTCTCTGTCTCTTCCTCTGTCCTGGACAAATTTTCTGCTCATGTGTAGCACTTCACTATGTAAAGGGACATTTTTTCCCCCTCTCCTGCTGCCTGCGGCATAAGAGGAGATATGTCCATCTCCCTGTGCCCTCGAGACTGCCATCCCCGCCCCAGACCCTGTCATGGGGAACAAAACCTCATTCACTTTGTGCCCCTTCTCTTGGACGCGCTCTGGGCTGGGAGCTGGACTCCTCATTTAGCCCCCTCCTTTATGGGCTTGAGTTAATAATATTGCTTTGGTGATGGGGGCTCCACGGTGCTCGTGGTCTCCTGGCTGTGCCCCTTCTCTTGGACGCGCTCTGGGCTGGGAGCTGGACTCCTCATTTAGCCCCCTCCTTTATGGGCTTGAGTTAATAATATTGCTTTGGTGATGGGGGCTCCACGGTGCTCGTGGTCTCCTGGCTGCTCTGGAACACCTCCAAACCCTCCTTGTGCCCCACAGGTGGGGCTCCACGGTGCTCGTGGTCTCCTGGCTGCCCTGGAACACCTCCAAACCCTCCTTGTG